CAACTCTATAATCTTGTGTGGCGTCAAATGTGCCACACGTGGACGTGCATTGTCGTGAAGAAGAACACCTTTCCGATTGACGAGTGAAGGGCGTTTCTGATAAAGGGCTTGATTGAAACGTTCCAGTTGCTGACTATAGATATTTGCATTAACAGTTCACTGTGGATTGAGGAGTTCAAAATGAATTACTCCTTTGATGTTCCACCAAATGCAAAGCATCACTTTCTGTGGATGGAGTCTAGGTTTTATGGCTGAAAGTGGTTTTAGTCTAGGACTGAGCCATTGTTTTTGGCATTTAATATTTGCATAGAGAATTTATTTTTCATTACCGGTGACAATTCTGTCCAAAAATGGTTCACGTGCATGACCCGCCAGAAGAGACGAAGCAACGTTCACACATTGGAAATGATGATCATCAGAGAATTTGTGAGGCACCCAAACACCTTCTTTAAGGAGTTTTCCCATATCCTTAGATGTTTATACATTGTTTCATGAGAGACATGCAATTTCAAGGCCATTAAGTTAGACTCAACAAGCATCTTCAGAACATCAATATAAATTCCAAAATGTTGGCCCCTGCCATCACAGTTTTTAAGGTTAAAGTCACCTGAACAAAATTTGTTGAACCATCGTTGACACTTATGAACATTCAAAACATTTCCATAAACTTCTATGATATTCTTTGTTACAGAGGCATTGTTTCCCTTCTTATATTCAAACAGCATTACATGCCGAATGTATGTCTCGTCATGTGCCATCAGTATAATGGATTAGAGTAAACTAAACTTTACACATTAATTAGGCTACATTAATGTGATGTTTAGGTGGTTCATTTAATTATTATTATACGTGATGTACATTTTTTGGGGGTTGGTTAATGAAAGTGTTCCAAATGCGACATTAATTTCTTGATGACCTAATATGAATTGCAACAATATTTTCAATAAACAGAAACTTTGAAGAAAATTAAGGACAAATTATATTAAATTACTAATACTCTGAACTAAGGGAAGTGAAAACATAACTGAAAAATAAAAATATCAATTTCTTTTTTTACAATTTTATTCACTTCACCTTATTCTAACAGCAGTGTTTGTTATCATGAAGAAAAAATCTTTTTAATTTATTTCTTTGGCAATTTTTAAAAATTAATTAAAACGGAAATCTGTATCTTTAAAAAATAGATGATAAAATTACTAAAAATTTAGATAACTTGGAATTTGACTTATTCTTTGAAACATAAATTGATAAGCATAATAAAATTCTGATTAAGAAGTTAGCAAGCAGGATCACATACAAAAATTGTAATGGTTTTCAAACAAGACCCCAAACTCGATCACTTTTGATTATTTCACTATTCTTCTTTGGGAGAATAAAGAGAAAGAAGAAAAATAGTGAACTATTCAAAAGTGCTTGAGTTTTGGGTCTTGTTTGAAAATCAAACCAAGAATAATGAAAAATAGAGTACAATAAGATAAAAAGCTGTTTGTGATTTAATAATGGAACAAAACTATAATCAGATGAAAGTAGAATTTTTCAGGCTGTTACACCTTGCTGTAATAAAGGCTGTCATTAGGCTCCAAGAGCTTTTGCACATGCTCATAAACACAACTACTGAAAAATTAAAGATTCTTTTACATCTATAAAAACATTATATATAGGGTGTTCCAAAACTATTTGCCACATACTTAATCTCTTCTATGTAAGTATTTGATTTACATCAACGAAACTCACTAGTAATTTGCATTCATTGTGCAATGCTTAGCTGAAACAGGTGGAAAATAAAAAAATAATATAATGCTTTGAGACTACAATTTTTGGCCCATCCTGTATATTATTTAGATCTAAAATCAACATTAACACAGTAGTAGTAAATGAAGTACCCCTACATCTATTTTACCTACAAATGCAGTATATTTATCCTGGCAATTTTAAATTAAGGACTTACTTAATCTGCCTTCTCTCCTACTATTATAAGTTTGCAACTATTTCTAGCAATCATGTTCTTCAATGCAGTAGCTGTGTATCAATCTAAATATGGTTGTACATATTGTGACGGATTTACTATCATATATCTATTTAAATATCAAGGTTTGTTTAAGTTAAATATATATTTAGAATTGTACATAACTTATACTGTTAAATCTGTATTGCAAAATTACCACCTATTCACTAAAACTGTAGAAAATTCCCGAGTGTAAGAATCAACATGTGTGTGAAGGTAAACGCTGGTGTATCATCTATTTTGTTGTGTAAGCTGAAATTTTAAGAAACTCTCCTCACACCTATAAATATAACCATAAATATGACATGCCAGAAGACAGTATATGTTATTGGATTGCTATAAACCTCGGAAGCTATAACTGTGATTGTTATAATGCTTATTAATCAGGAACTTCAGATATTTGACCAGGAACATTTATAGATTTCAAATATTACAAACCATTTAACCTCAGCAGATTCATATCAGATATTAGTATTTTTATGAAAACATTATATAACTTCAGTGGTTGATAACTCAGAGTGTGGCCAGTGAAAAACAAAGAATACAGAACTAGCTAGCTTCCTGTTAAGTGAATTGTATCTACATCTACTCAAAATTAATTTGTTCATCATGAATCCTCAATAAGATATCAAGGAAGTTCCAGACTAGACAGAGGTCTCAATATTGTTTGTAAGTTTGTAAAACTTTTGTATATAGATCATTATTTGTTATAACCATTATTGCAAAGTGTGTTATTAATGTTTGTATATGAAAATATATTTGTATTAACAAAACTGTGTATCAATATTTTTGGCAAGTTATCATAAACTGGATACATATTGACATTTATTTAATTTCTAAATCTAAGTTATCATTTAACTCAGTTTCAGGCTATTTGAAATTATAATACATTATGTAATAAATTGGGGCTCGTCCGGGATAAATTGTAATATGTAACAATATACATTTGTAAATGGCCACCACATGGTCGATAATTAAGTTATTATAGGTTGTCAAATTTAGGAAGAGGAACAAAACATTTTAATAAATGAGAAACCTTTACAAATAAGATGCAGATTTCAAAGACCATATATGCAAGGTATAACTGGAAGGCAAATGAGATACAAGAAGAGATCCTATGATGGAAAATGTCAACAATTAAAAAACTAAAATTTAAAAGAACTTACCAGGTCAAAGCTTTTTAAGATAACATTAATTTGACATAAAACTTGAAGAAAGATGAAATCCACTGAAAGACAAGACTTTGTAATGGTATATAAGTCTTCCACACCCACAAAAACAAGAAAAAAGAAGTAAATGAAACTGATGCACTATTGTTTTAATAATAATTATAGGTAAGCAAGCAAGTACTTTAGCTGAGTCATGATAAGAGGTGCAGAAAATTTATTTGGAGATGCTGCATTATTAGTAAATATCATGTGGGACATACCTAACAAATTAGTAAAATAATACAGCAACATTAATTCTGAATGAGACACAATAGATGATCTACTTCAGACAATTACATTAACACAGAATAAGAGGAGGAAAGGTCTAGCCTTCCATTTTGTCAAAATATTTAAGACAAAAGACCAGTCATGATAAATGTACTAAGAATCTTCTGAATATAAGGTACTAGAAATTTTATCTTCATTTTGTGAGAATTTTATATAATTTCCTTTGTGGGAATGACAGGACAGCTTGCCCGTGCATCATTCACCATGCAGGTCTGCTGAATACGGGCAATCAGTAAAGGTACACATTTCATGTGGCATTAAGCATCACATTTATTTTGTGTTGGCTTCATGCAGTAAAATTTGTTAAACTCAATCTCTGGAAAAGTGGACTCAAATTCCTCTAAGAAATTTTTTAAAAATTGGTTCAGTCAGTTCCTCACAACTTGCAATGTCAAAACACCAATCAGACAGACAACTCTGCTTAATATACCTGAGAGAATTTTACGTATCATTGAGAAAAGAAAAATAAGCTTAAAAAATCAAAGAATTAAACAGTTATTGCTTGAGTAAAGGTTTAGACAGAAAATAGTATACTTGAAAAGCACTGTTAATGAGCTACACCTATCTAAAAAGTTTTAAATAATATTTTGAGCTGCAAGAGCAGATTTTTATAAAGCCCCAATGAAGATCTGCATTAGCAGCTCAAAACATTATCCAAAACCTCCTAGACAGAGGATTAAAAACTTGTTTCAATAATACTCAAAAAATAAGAGATGTCTCAAGGAATAAGCTTGGCTCAGGTGCATAAGGAGCATGAATTATTTGCAAAGATTCAGAAATATTTTGAAAGTGGAACTTCACACAGTAGAGAAAATAAATGGCAAAGGTGATGGAACAAAACCAGTTCTGTAACCCTTGAGAGTAGAAATCAAGAGGTTCAAGCTTTCAAACAGATAACAAAATAAGTCACAAACATGTCACAGTAGAGAAAGACTCAATGCTCTTTCATTCTCACCATTTTCCAAAGAGCTTCCAATATAGTTATACATGTTGACCAAAAGAAGGTCTCGAGACAGAAAAATGGAATCAAACAAGAGTCCTCGAAAAAAATCTGACTGCCTTGGCAGAAGGCTAGAAAGAAGCTATATGTTAATATTGAGTCTTTCAATACGATGAGAAAAAAATTAACATTCCTAGTTGTCCAGGACAACAATGCCATACTGGGAAAGGAATAAGGAGACATCCCTGCTAAAACTAAAAAGAAGGAAAATAATAAGCACATAAAAATGGTCCTATACAAACAACCCAGTGGTTCTAGTTACCAAAGTATTTTTAGAATCAAAACACAAGGGAAAATAAACATAGGTAGAGAAACAACAACACCAGATCCTGAAACAGAGCTTCTACTGCCAATGCAGTCATATCTCTAATCAGCTATTAAAACTGAGAAAGCTTAAAATTAAGGAAAGTCAGAAAATAATTGACACGACTAGGAGGTTAGTCACTCCTAAAATGTGTGATATCATCAAAGTACCAGAGACTAAAGAAGTAAATATACAAACTGCAGAGAAAAAAATATTACCCCTCCCCTTTTTCAATGGTTCATTTGAACTACTAAATTTTGTAGCAGACAGGAAACCATGACAAGCATATTGGACTGTTACACTTTCCAAAACATTGATCTCTCAGTTGAAGATTTTGAGTTCATTAATCCTTCAAATCATCTTCAAAGCATTTAATGATGAATGGTGAAGGGGATCTCAAAGTGAAGAAATGCCTTAGATTTAGCCAAAAGGTTGATTATAAAGTCTATCTATTTGAAAAAAAAATTTTTGAAGTATTCCCCATCTGTCTTGAACAATGAAGCACTATAAGGAATAGAAATTAGCAAAGAACTTAAGAGTACAAAGGTAAATGATAAGAAACCCATTTACAAGAGTGAACCTCGATAAAATGGCTGTAACAAACAGAATAAGAATAGACAAAAGAACTGTAGCACCTTGAAAAGCTTTTATAAAAGAGACATAGCAAAAAATTGCTTAGAATATAAATTCAGTTTCTAAGAAGCTTGGAACTTGTACAAAAGCATATCTAACCTATATAAAATCAAGTGTGTGTCACATCATGCTTTATTTCTCAAAATAGGAGGAGTCACAAAAGCCAAAATGCATTTATCCAGATAGAATAGTTCCATTACTGTCTGCCCTTTACAATTTTAGTGATGGGAGTGCAAGGGGTTTGTGTGTGCTGTGAAACCTTATAAGTGTAGTGAGTGTTGGTACAATAAACCTAAAGTAAAAACGTAGTGTGAGATCACCCAGCCTAGAGCCAAGTGCATAAAATTTATCATGAAAGTAAAAATATCAATTCAATTTTAAACTTAAATCATTTCTGAATTAAGCTATTTTCTATTATATCATCAATGTTTTTAATAAAAAACAAACCTCTTTAATCAATGGAGAATTAAGAAATTAACAAATATTTTTCCAGTTTTGTTGTCTATAAATTTCATTTTATACTTTCAGTACATAGACTAACATTTATATTAGGTTATACTTTCGTTGCTAAGCGACATGACATATTAGCTATTTGTGTTTCCAAAATACACTGGCTATTCTATATATTAGAAGTCATTAATCTAACTGATTTTTACCAATATTTATTCTATGAATATGCCACAAATTCATTTCATGAAAGATCTTAATTTTGATTGCCTCACAAAGGAATTTACAAATGTTTGATGTCTTGACTGCATTTTTCTGCCTTTTGTTGGTCAAGCTTGACTTCACAAAATGTATTTATATCAGTTAGCTCTGAAATGTGAGGTTAGGGTATACTATGGGTTGGATTTGGGGGTGTTAGTACTTGCTCCATTGTTTTTGAAGGGCTATATGCTAGTATATTTAGAAGTGCCTGGTGGTATTCATATTGTTACGACAGCGGAACAGTGATGCTGGAAACAATATAAAGAAGACTTACAAGGAAACCCCATCTCTGAATAGAATTCTGGAACAATACAGGCATTAGATCCAACATTCCTTTACTTGTGTAGTTTCAATAATAAGGTCTCTTATACAGTTTGATAGACCTATTATTTACCTTATTTTAACAATAAATGACAATCTTCAAAATAATCACTTTACTCACTCAAATCACCAGTTGCTGAATGTACTGAAATGCCTTCTATTGAATAAATTCAACAATTAATTTCAGGTCACAGAGGGCACATGATTCATGCAATACATTTGTCTGTTATGTGTATTTCTAATCTTTTGAACAAGTAGTGTACCCTGGCTACAAAAATTAACCTCAAACCATTCAAACAAAAATACAAAAAACATTACATCATTTAAAACACAAGTTCACATACCCATTACATGTTTTTTGCAAAAGAGACTGAGGTAGAAGTTGATTTAGCCTTTGGGACATAAGTTTTGCAAACTATATGTAAGTAGAGCTTAATTTATTCCTCAATCTGAAGAAGTATATCTGAAAAAATAAATAAAAAATCATACATTGTATATTGAGAAATATATTTGTACATGTATTCAAAGTAAATTTCAATTTACATATGCATGTACTTTAATAAGAAACCAAAAAATCATATTTTCAAAGAGCAAGCTAATTGTACCATTCCTAAAAAAATGAAAAATTTCAATAAGCTATATTTATTAAATAAATCAAAACCAGTGTATTGTGTGTTCTAGTGATTCACCTTATTATTTAATGCTAGAGCTCTAAATATTAAAATTTAAGTATATGTATTGTGGTAAGCAAGAGTTTACTAATTACGCTACATGTAACCATTTAATCATCTCCTTTAAATTTGATATTTTAAGTCAAAACACTTTCAGTTATTTTAATTTCCATATACCTTAAACACTAACAAACTGGACATTTTATTGTAACAGTATTACTAATACTGATACTCTAACAAAAAATTAAGTTCTATATCATCATATTAAACAGTTACAACTTCACAAGTCAAATCAGATAATAAACACAAAAAAAGCAATAACTTCCAATAACAACTGAAATTAAAACTTCTTTTTTAATTCCAAACACAACATTAAGAAAAATTAAATTAATCTCTAATGTGGTCTTTCACATCATTGTGTGATAGTATTATCTTCAGTACTTGAACAAGTATATTTAT